AGCGTTGTTCCGGTACAATACTCGTAGTGATACAACTTTTGAGGGTGATTGTATGACCCAGTTAGTTTTACACGTTAATTAATTCCATGCCTCTTTCGCCGAAATGTGCAGACAGCGGTCCCAGTCAACGGTTGTTGCTAGGTTGCAAAACTTGGAATAGTCAGTAATACTTCGCTGAGTTTTTCTTGTTCTATATCAAGACCATTGACATAGCAAAAACAGCCAAATGTTAGAACCAGATGGTCAATAATAAATGGTGGGGGTCGAATGCGACTGAATCAACCATGCACTCTACACTTCTCAAAACCAACTTCAGGATCGAAGGCTTGCTTGAACAGCGGTGTCTAGTTGGCCATTGCACATGGTTGTATATAGTTGCAACGTGCATGAAATGAAGAAGTTTTGGCATGCTTGGTAAATGATATATGGCGGAGAAAAAGACTAAAGTTTGATATGTCCCGCCGGATGATCGGTTAGGGGTGAGCAAAATAAACGCAAAAATGGCGATAGATAGCGAACAACCGCAAATTGCGAACTTGCCCATTACAGCGTTCTTGTCCGTTTTATGTACTAGCCAAGGGTATCGTCTGTAGTTTCCGTGCAAAAATGGAGGTGTGTTGCTTTGATTTTGCTCTTCGGCAGTTTGTATGGGTCGTTTGGATTACGTTATATCCTGAAGCATAGCCAGTGCACTGTCGACCCGTGCTTCGAACACGATTGACGTGGGGGCTGAAATCACAACTTCTCAGAGGGTAGTTCACCTGCGGCAAGCACGCCGCGAGAAGTTTCTTGGACACTCCAACCGACTGTATTGTACTACCAACTTGAGATGCTGGTCTCCCAGTTAGCAGCGGTGACTCAGCTTCAATAGGTGATGGCAAGGGTGATGAGTGTTGTACAAAATTTCACAAACCATGATTAAGTCATCACTATAGCGCCCACAACGTCCACAGAAAATCCCAAGCAATCTGAGGCACTGTTCGTATGACAAAAAGCGCAGTCCCGTGACAATTTTGGTCGTCCAAAGTTGTGGAACCTCGAAAGCCGTAAGCTCCCGCTTTAACCGTGGGAGCCATGCTTGAATTGCATATTCAACTTGTAGGCGTATATAAGCAGGAAGAATTTGGCGGGAAATCGACGGGTCGAATTGCCCGAAAGCTGTCGTAAATGCCCCACGATTTGCATCCCCTTCTTCAATTCATTTTTGAACTGCTACGAACAGCCGAGTTCTTAATGGACCAACACATCGAGCTCATTTTTCAGAGAACTGTGTTGCAGATCCTGGTCCCCCAGCTTATATGTGGGAACCATTCGATGTCTTAAATGGAGCACTCAACATTTAACCACATTGAAGGAAAGGCGATTTTGAACCGACCATCCATAAATCTTGTCAAGCTCGATTTGAAGCTGGTTACGGTTTTCTGGTGCACTGATCACTCGCCAAACTTTGATGTCATCGGCATAGAGTAAACAGTTTGACGGAATTTGACTCACTAGATGGTTTATGAAGACAAAGAATAGACCGGGTTCCTATACCGAACCCTGTGGCACTCCGCATTCGACATGAATTGGTTCTGAGATGGATTCACGTACTTTCACCGCCAGACGCCTGTGCGAGAGAATATTGTAGATCCACCCCAAAAGAGGGTCCCGAATGCCACATCCTGGAAGTTTGGCGTGAAGAACACGATGGTCAAACCGGCCGAATGCCTTAGTGAAATCAAGATAAGCCACCTCAACGCCTGCATCAGAGACCACAGTTTCGGACCAGTTGTCTCGTGCTAACAATAGAATGGTTCTGCTCGACCGATTCTGGCGGAAGCCGTGTTGCTGCTGAGCAATATAAACAAAGCTTGTGTCCCCACCCCATTGCTCACGCCCCAAGACTGCCAGTAAAATTTCATAGACGAGCCGGAAAGAGACTTTTATAAATGAAATCACATTTGCTTATTTACTTTTGAAGGCAACTTGAAGAGAAGCTACTAAATTACATTTGAGCCAACCAACAGAAGGAAAAGTTCAAATGCAAAGGGCGAAGAAGCAACCGAGTACTCAAGAACGAATCGCATATGTCATTAAAAATAGCGTCATGGTGTCCCAAGCGTAAAGCGAACATCCATTTACAATGACGGGCACTGACCAAACCAAATAAAGAAACGTGGTGTTTAAACAAAGGTCACGGAAGGAATGAGACTAAGAACTGCGGACCCAAAAAGTAAGAACTAGTACAATAATTGTGTGACAACTAACTATTCCTTTAACATGACCAAGTAGGAAAGTGATGAGGAGAAAAATCAATGGAATGTGTTCTTGCAAATCGCACTGCTGAAGATGACACTGAGAGGGGCGTCCATTAACAATGACGGATGTGTACCAATCGGGCTAACACAGTGGAGCGTTTAAACGACATTCGAGAAGTAGAAAACAGAAAGAATAAAGAATGGCTATTGAGGTCTTTTACAAAAATGGATGTCAAATATCTATTCTCATGACACCAAAGCCGTCCAGATAAGACCTGAGTGCGTCGTCAATGATAGTCTCCATAACTTTTGAAAGAACTAGCTGTAGAGTGATCGGACGATAATTAGCCGCCTCGAAACGACTACCTTATTTGTTAATGGGAGATATCATTCCGTGTTTCCACATTGCAGGAACGTGCCGCTCGTCAAGGCAGTGCTGGAATCGCTGCGGCAAATGTTCAGCCAATATAGTAGCCTCCACATCATGCGTCTTTGGACGGATGTCGTCAATTCCTGGACGGCCGTGCAGACGCACGGATAGCAGCTTTCTCATCACGATGTCTGCGGTAAAATTTATATGCGTGTCCTGGTGTGGACAACATTGATTCCAAAGATTCAGGCATCACGGGCTGCAATGAAACGTTGGTGCATATTGTTGTTGCAGAACATTCGACGCTTGTGTGGCAGTCCGAGTTAGACCATCTGCTGTTTGAAGAGGGGAAAATGCACTTTTCACCTTGCGGAGGCTGTTCACGTGGTTGTACAGAGGCTTAGGATCTGCGGTTAATCGCTCAGCTAAAGCATGTTGACAACCTACTTTGTCCGCGCACTATTTGGGTACAGTGGTAACGGTTGACGACAAACGCCTCCCAGGTACTCGGAATCAGATTAGTTTTGTGGGTATACCATGCGGCGTTGCGCATCACCATACGTTTGGGTATCCTACTCCGTACAAACGGCGTCATGTTTCTCGAACTGATAGTCTTGGTTTCCGATGCTCCCCTAACCATGGTGTTAAACTTTCTGGTGAAGCGTTTCCAGATGATATCGGGTGTATCCTCAGTTAGGAAACTCCAGACGATCGCTTCAACAAGTCGGTTTAAGGTGTCGTAACTGGGTGCGGTTCGCGTCGTTTGGGTTAGGTCCTCGGGATATTCAGCATAGCAAATGTACATAAAATTCAGCCGCGAGAACACGGCATCCTAGCGGTTATATGTTGTCACTTTGTTGATTTCTTTTTCTTTGGTTTTTGGGATTAATACAAGTAACTTCGCATATTCCCTATTGCGAATGAATCGTCCTACTTGGGCGTGTGCATATGTGCCATTGTTTTATGATGAATTGAGGCGAGGTTTGCGGCTATAAGGCATTTATTCTTATCGTAGCTTTGTTCTGGAATTTTTAAGGCTTGAAATGTGTGACAACGATGTTGCACAAAGTAACGGTTATATGTATTCAAATTGTTTTGCTATATTTCACTAGCTTACTTACCCTCCAGGAGGCGGAGTTTATTCTTCAGAGCACTTAATTTTGCTATCGTTAGGTAAACCTACCTACAAGGATTTTTATCTGTAAACATTAAAACTAGTTTTCTGCCATTCCGAATGCTCGACCATGAACTGGCTCCGATAAGGTGCATTTTATACCAAACTTAATTCCGCGAGCATATCAAAGGGCCTACTATTCAGAATTATTCCAGGCGATGCAAAGAGGGGCATACTGACAGACGTAGTGCAGCCTTGATCTAGGCAGTTAGTTTTGACTAAATTTCGGTTGTTGGAATCAGATGGCTGGTGAAAATAAATGATCGCTGTCGGCGATTGAAATTGCCTCGTTTCAGATGAGCACAGACCACTCTTTTCTCTTAACCAATCAGTCACATTTGCGGTGCTCATGACTCCGACCTTGTTTTGATCAGCAACATCGCTGTCAATGCCTTCAGATAAATTATCAAGCTCTTGGTTTGCATTATTTTAGACCATGGGCTAGATGATATGTTACCTATCCCAATTTAGCCATAATTTTCGATCCCAACAACTACGGATACTAGCGGAACAGCAGAACATAAAATGTTAGTATTCAAAGGCCACGTAGTTCAGAAGTGATTGTTAGTACCAATTATCTAACGTAGCAAGTAAAGACGTGCAGTTCTGGTCAACTCGTTAAAATGGACTATGTATCCTCGGGTAGTTACATTTTCAACATCTATACATTATCACTGCGGTTAGGAAGTATATGAAATTATTCTGCAAAACGCATAAAGTGCTTAATAGAGAAGATCTACGCATAAAGCTAGGTTAGACAACTGCACATCGTGTTGATGATTTTTCTTGGATAGACAAGTAAGCGACACACTGTCAACCGACAGGATGTCAAGCGATATCTGATAGGCTTTGCCGTTTGCTTGGTTAAAAACTTGAGTACATACTGTCTAAAACCAGAGCCATTTCCTGATTTAAATTCATGTGGGACGTTTGTCGGTGAAGGTCCAGAAAGCCCCGAGCGACAAGGCATAGAGTTGATAAACAGAAGCGACTGTTAGTGCATAACACCAGTGTGAAAAGTCTACCGCAAGCCAGCATGTTTTATCCATGATTTTTTGTGTTTGTTCATTTTCCCAATCCTCTCAACCCCTATCCGGCGGTCTAGGTCATTGTGCAACGAACGTTATCTGCCAAGAACCTCACTCATGCCAAGGCAGGGTGCGTACTTGCTGGTTGCATTAAACTTCTCCCAATGTGGCTTCTTATTTTTCCCGGGATGATTGCTAGAGTGCTATTTCCAGGTGAGCGAAAGTTGGTGTTAATACAATCTTCTCTTTCACCAAAGCTACATTGTGATACCTCTTATAAATATCGATGTGAAAAGTCTCCGGCTGACATAGGTCTTGTATTCCTCGAAGTAGCATAGAGGATCATAAGATGGATTACTATGTTACAGGTTTCTTTTTGGAAAAATGCAGTAACCGTTGTAACTATCATCTACATCCTCCAATAAAGCGCATTTGATCGCTGTGTGCACTAGGTACTCTCTAAATGAATTACAAAAAATAAATTGCACCTACGTTTATCACGATGTTCGGGAGCGGGTCGCTTATCCTGCGTGTCGATCTGCAACTTCTCATAAATAAGATTTGGATTCCACAATCCAGAATACTTCTTAGCTTTCCCGTAAGCGATGACTAAGCAGTCATCATTATTAACGGGGCCGGATTGCCGACGGCTGATACAAAAGTGATTAACCTTAGAAACTGTACTCAAAGTACTCTTTAGTGATACTTTTAGAATGTGTGATACATCATAGCATCCTAAACAATATATTTCGCTGTATTTTGCCGGCCCAAAGCCTTAAGGATCCCAAACCTTCCTTGTAATCCGAGGGCGCGGGTTCGAGTTTTCGTAGGGACCGGGCGACCCTCGCAGTATCTTTAGTCCACGTGCGACCGGTGATGGTTGCGCGGCGGCGAAGCGTCGCTACTGCGTACCGGCGTACTGCAGATGGCTTTATTTCGCCGTTTAGCATTATATTACTGGTTCACTATAACTCGAATACATTTAAATATATCGTACGGAATACCTATTCTTAAGCACTATTGTGAGTCGAATCATTGATCTTGATGGTGAATAAAGGATGTGGGCTGTGTAGAGGATTGCGGTATATATTTGCGTGTACCGCGTGAAAAGCCAGTTCTAAAGGTTGGTTAATGTAGCAATCAAATTTGCAAGAACATGTATTTCCGAAGTAACGGCATATAAATACAATCGTTGAGCTTATAAGCTGCAACATTGATTGAATACGTGTAGGCAAGCCGTGGTCTGTCACTGGACATGTTAATTATGCATAATTTTCACTTGGAATGGGAAAAAGTGGAGCTTATACAATTCACTTATCCTTTATGAAAATACGACAGAACTCGTCTACTTTCATTATTATGTTGTCCACTATCTGAGAAGTTGATTTGCACACAAAGGGCGTCAACTGTGTGAACTTCTCAAGAGACTTAAGCACGCTCCTCAAAACAGGTGGTATACGTAGCCTGCTTTCCGGAGAACTCATCCAACTGGTTGTTGATTTATTGCACGAGGCTAACTACTTTAGTCAAGTTTCTTTGCAATATGGATTTTTAGCATGCCGTGTGGAGCCAGCGTTCGGTGACAGTGTGTGTGCATCTGACATAATTCCTTTTCTGTTACACCCACTGTGTATTTTGAATTAACGTAAGGAAAATTTTTGTAGGTACAATAAGCAACCTGTGGTTTTGCTAACTCCACTTATAATTATTTCCATAATATTCCCATTAACAAAGACTGCTAACAAGCCACTATCGATCAAATAAGGGCGGTTAAGAAAATGGTCCCCTACAAACGAACCTCATGCATGGTATAGCTAAGAACAACTTTTACTCACTTCTGTTGCTCGAGAGTGTGTACACGGCATTATCGCGAACTAAAGACAGTGAGTTCACGTGGGAGGTCATTGAACTAACTCAGGGGAAACATTTCTAGAACCTATGCGACAATTGTTTGTTTACATTGCATGCCAACCTGATTTAGCGATCGATGTGTCGACGGTACATGTTCCCCCAAATTCCTCCGCTCTAATTCCAGTCATTCCCTAAACTTGCCAAATGTGGATGACATAACCCGTGGTGGTGAATTGTTGAAACACATACATATTGTCTGTCCCGCCCAACCTGCCTCAAGGGGACGCTGGGAATGCTTACAGAACTCTCCAGCATTATAACGAAAAGCGCCCAGTACGTTTTCAGTCAGCCCAAAGAGCTCCCACTTGCATCCCACCTTGGAAACATTGGGACCGCGCTTACCTCAGTAGGGCGGAACATTGTCTAGAAATGAGAACAGATTATTAATACATCAAAAGCATCAAGTCTTATAGCACATAAACCCAATGGGTGAAACAAGTCAACAGTTTGAGTTTTTGTTGGCTGACGCACATCTTATCTTAGGCGTTTTTACATTCACCAGCTCCGTATTGCTTTTTTAAGCAGGGACGTGTAAATGCATTTGTGCCAGCAGCTGATATTCTGTAGTGCCTGCTGGAGTATTGAGTTTGTTTGAAAACTGAACAATTTGGTTGTACTATTCCACCATGAATGCGGCTCCGTGGATGGCCGTAGTATTTTACTTGAACTTCTAGTTACATCTGCTTTTGTCGTTGGTCCCAGTTCCTTAACACTTCTAATAATTTCAAACGGCCAAACACTTTTAAAAATGCTGTTTGCACTCTAATGTAAATAACGTGAATAATTAGCTATTTTATCGACCTCTTTGAAAACCTTGATCAGACCATCCCATTAGACTGTCCCTAGGACTGTCGTTGAATATGCCGTTTATTTAAATATATTTAGTTACCTATGGCTGTGCCGGCTAAGAAGCGCTACACAGTTACTCGCTTAAGGACTTGCCGAGAGCCGAAACAGGTTTTGTTACAGTACCTAGGCTTGACGATCCAGGATGCCCACTGCTAGGCTTAAAAGAAAAGGTGCACCTCACCCAAGCTGAACGATCTATTGTCAGCACCATCAAGTGAGAGGCTTTTCGCAAAGTTCGGTCCGCTATGTTGCTTTGGCTTGTCTCAACAGATGTATAAGTCAGCCGTTTGGGTTAAAAATATCTGAGGAGGTATTACAAAAACAACCAGCAAAAGCCTTGAAGGATCTACGAGAATATTTGTGTCTCAGACCGATTATCGACGTTGGGAGAAGAAGAAAAAGGACAGCACGAACTTAAACATCTCTGTTTACTGCACTTTTGTGTTTAGCAGAACAGACTTGTGACACGGAGATGGTTGAAATGTGCTGACCGAAGTTGGCATCCCAAGAACAAGTGTTGGGTGTAACGTGTTTGAGATCAGATCCGAAAAGGACACATGCGACCGGGGAAATTACAACTGCCGGTAGAGAAGGATCTAGCCAACTGAACGGAAAGAACCGTCTTGTATCAAGAAAACCAAAAATGAAGGTACCCACATACAAATCAACACAAGGAAAAGATAGACACTGGAAGATTCGAATGGTAATGCTGCGATATATATGTACTTCCATGTACCTCTTTCTCTCTCTATCCAGTGTGACATCACCATCAATAGCTTATGGCCGCCCTAGTGCAGATAGGAAAATACTGCCCTTTGAAATCAGATTCTGACACCAGTCAAGTGCAATTACGCAAAATTGGAAAATATGTAGGCTTGCACTGATGTGCGTTCCTGAGGCTTTCAACGACTTCACTTTCAACCGTAAGGCCACCGTGTTAGTCTATAGTAACCTCTGGTAGTCAGCTATTAATTGCCACTTCATATTGTGTCGAGTCACTAAAAAGAGTTATTGAATTTTTAGAAGCACACGTCTAAGATTATCCTTCAACCTGGGTCTAAACTGTACATCGGGAAGGATCAATCGTGAAGCCATCTACCAAACGCTCTCAAAAGGCAGAAAACCCATGCAGCATGACAACTTAATCCTGCATAATACATCTGCGGCAATGACGACTTCGTATGGAATTTGCAGTGGTCAGAAGACTGGAATTTACCCACAGAACTAGCGTCAGTTTCCCATTCACATAAAGCACGCAATTTGTAGAAATGACCAATACGCATCACGGTCAACTATGGAATTTAATGGCATTGCAACGCATCGTGTTGGTGTTTATCCACGATGCACCTCTAGGGGTAAACAGCTGCGAGGCACGAGACAGAGTTTGGACGTTTTGGCCTAGGTTGGCCGGAAATATTCGTTACAACATGTCGGAATGTTTTTCTTACTCAACATATGAGATCTACTGAAAGTAGGAGCCAATAGTGCTACAAGGGGTCTCGACACAGCCAGAGTATAAAAGGGAACAGGACAGAGCATACATGAGGGACGCAGTTATAGGATTTAAGGTCCATCTAGTCACTTCAAATAACGTCAAAGTCGCTGTTAACAGGATGTGCTGCCACGTCATTTGACACGTGGTTCTTAAGGGGTTGGGTTCCGACAGTGGACTGATCTTCGCTTAAATAATACAGACAAAATCGAAGAAGCAGTGAACGGCGCCAAGCAGAAATTGACCAAAGCCAAGGAGCTAACCGACAACTTGCAAACAGTACCGTTCGAATGTAGCTCGGGATGAATTCCAGAGTGAGAACTATGTTATCCAAGGCTAAAATTCCGCTTGACGGAAGAAAACAGATCGTGTTATTTCATAGCCTTTAGAAAAAGAATGTTTCGGTTGGTTCCCCCCAAGCAAAGACTGAAGGCGATCCGAACAACGTAAGTTGATTCATGAGGCAGCGAAGAACAAGCGAAACAAGAAATCGCAAAACGCATGGACAAGGAATCATCAAAGCTGGTCAAGTGTTGTTTTGTTATGACTAGAATTTGGTAGCAGCCTAGCACTTTTTCCTTTCTTTGAAACTAAGACAATAAATAATGTCAGCTGTAAGCCGTAACTGTGTTTCTCATCCGCGCGACCACTAGCAGTCGCGCGTAGGCTGAGTATACCGCCCGGAGGTCCCCCCTAAGCGGATTCGAACCGGTGACCTTATGATTGCAAGCCAGTCGTGCAAACCATTCGGCCAGTTGGCAACTTTGTTAAAAGTGTACATGACAAGACTGATGAGTGATTAAACTGAAGCCTGCAAATGGGAAGTTGGACAACGGTGAGTGCATATCAATGAATATTAGAATATGGTACGGTGCATTTGATACTTGAATATATAGCAAATTGGTCTCGAGAGTCTGCAACCCATCCAAAAAGCGAGTAGCCGCCGACCTTACATCGGTCG